AAAAAAAAAAAAAAAAAAAAAAAAGATTATGATGCTATTCATGAATAATTTAAATATGTATGACATGTTGAATCAAATATGTACATGATAACATTCCATGCATAACAGAAAATACATTAAAAATCAGTACATAATAAAAGCTTTAGATTTAGATGATATATAAGGTGCATTACTACTCTAGCAATTTCTTGAACTAAAAGCATTTTCTGAACTTAAAGGATCTATAAAGTAAAAATGGAATCATCAGGGGAAATCACACATTCTCCTATTGTCACTACACTAGAGAACAATTATCTGGCTATTTTGATTAGTTATCCTTCCTCCCCTTTGGAGCTAAGGAGGCATTTAAGTGAACCCCAGGTGAAACTTCCTCTCTTACTATGACTGGCCAACAGACAGCATGGCCAAAGAGGAGTTTGAAAGAGAAAGATCTTCCTATAGGAACGTTCCTTTAGCAGATGGTTGAAAGTAAGTGTTCTGTAAATTTCCCTGGGATCTAGGGCATGACAAATATCTGGACCTGGATGTGGGAGTGGATGCTCCTAGATTTCCCAGACTCCAATGCAGTGAATATCCATCAGAGGTCTGCCTTCCTCACAAACATTTGGGTGAGGCTTGTGGTCAGTGGCAGCATGGACAGCACAGGGCAGCTTAGGGCAGCCTAGGAATGTTGATGTCTAATGACCCCCACTCCCAGTTTGGGAGCTTTTTCCTCCAAACAGCCATGTCTTCCAGCATCTTCCTATTCCTAGGCTAGCTGTCTTCTCTGAATGCCTCAGATTGCCCAAAGCTTAAGTCCTTTCTACTGGAAAGTAAAATGTTTCCCCCTTAATGGAGAATTTTAACAGAAACAAAAATATGTAGTTAAGTGAACAATATATTAAACTTGGGATTCGCCATTATATGAAGGAGAGTTGAGTTTGATTTCTTTTATTACCTCCCTCTCCTCCCTGGTCAGTGTCACATTTTTCTTTGGGTTTCTTTTTGCTTGTTTGTTTTGTTTTTGAGTTGGAGTCTCACTCTGTCGCCCAGACTGGAGTGCAGTGGCCGCTCCCGGCCACCGCAGCCTCGACCTGCTGGACTCTGGCGATCCTTCCGCCTCAGCCTTCCGAGTAGTTGGAACTACAGGCGCGCGCTACCACGCCCAGCTCATTTGATTTATTGTAGAGATGAGGTCTCGCCAAGTTGCCCAGGCGGGTCTCGAACCCGCGGGCTCAGGCAATCCACTCACCTCAGCCTCCCAAAGGCACGGGATTACAGGCTGAGCCACCGAGCTCGGCAGTGTCACATTTTCCAAAGATTGTGTTTCTCAGGAGCTGTGTTTATTAAGCAATAATTAATTCATATAATATAATTAAAGCAATATTCCAGTTTCCTTTTGCTTAGCATAGTGCTTGGTTGCAAGACTTCTGGAGTTTACTAGTTCTTGGTACTGCCACTCACTAGCTACTTGAACCTGGATAAGTTGTTTGACCTTCCTGAGCCTCAGTTTTCCCACATATAAATTGTAGAAAACAATGTCCATAATGGTGTGTGAGAATAAATCAGACAACACGCAGTTGGCCCTCTGGATGTGTGGTTCCACCTCCATGGATTCAACCAACTGAAGGTTGAAAATATTTTGAAAGAAAAATTCCACAAAATTCCAAAAAAGAAAACTTAAATTTGTCATACACCAAGTATTACATGTTGAATCCATGTGAATCAAGTAATGTGTAGGCATTGTGTTAGGTGTGATAAGTAATCTAGAGATGGTTTAAAGCATACAGGAGGATGTGTATAAGTTGTGTGCAAATACTGTACCATTTCATATAGGGACTTGAGATCTGTGGATTTTGGTATGGGGGGAGGGACAGCTGTGTGTGAATTTTTGAGAACTGTGACTGGCACAAAATAAGTGCTCAATAAACAGAAACTTTTTAAATTAATAAAAGGTAAACTTTATACCACACTGAATTAATACAATTCTAACCAACTGAGGGTCAAAAATATTCTGAAAAAAGTTCCATAAAGTTCCAAAAAGCAAAACTTAAATTTGCCGCACAAGTACTGTGTATTGAACCTATGTGAAGAGATTCAAAGGAGGATGGACCCAAGAAAGAATCCTGACATTTTAATTATCCTACATGATTCTTATCCTGTATAAAATACAGTTTTATTTACTATTAGGAATGTTGAAAATAGCTGTGCAGTCCCACTGTCCAAGATCCCACAGCCTCTTGGGTATGTTTGGAAATAATTGATGTAAGAAGTGGCTTCCTATGTCTTTAATCATCATTTTAGTTCTAATTTATTTAGACCTTATGCTTGCTATTCTACTTGGAAAAATTCCTTTGCATTGTTTAATTTAACAACATTAAGCATGACCCACTATGCACTATTAAGAAACTGAGCAATTGGTGACAATCACCATTTCTAAAGATAATCTGCTTAGTCAGGTCAACTTTCCTGTGTCTCAACCAACCCTTTACATCATCTCTAATTTCCAACTGTTTAGAACAAAAAGAAGAATCGGAGAAGGACTGTGTTTAGATAACATTTTATCTACTCTAAGATAAAATCTTTAAGAGAAGTTTTATTAAAAGTTATTTTGTTTTATTGTATTATTTTATTTTATTGAGTCAGATTTTACTCCAGGATGGAGTGCAGTGGCATACTAACAGCTCACCACAACCTCGACCTCCCGGGCTCAGGCGGTCCTTCCTCCTCAGCCTCTCAAATAGCTGAGACTACAGGAGTGTGCCACTACACCCAGTTAATTTTTTCTTTTTAAAATTCTTGTGGAGATGGAGTTCTCACTATGTTTCCCAGGCTGGTCTCAAACTTCTGGACTCAAGGAATTCTCCCATTTCGTCCTCCTAAACTGCTGAGATTTACAGGCACGAGCCACCACACTCGGCCTTAAAAAGTCATTTTAATTATGATGATGTTAATAATAATAATAATTTTAACAACAAGAAGCACCCATGGCATTGATTTTAAATATGTGCCTATAATATATATATTTATAAATACATGCATATATGTATATATGTTTGTATGTATATATGCATGCAAAACCAATTTTACCATAGCTCTCTAAAGCATACTACAAAACCTGATTGAAAAATGAAATGCCTTAGTCAATTAAAAATTAGTTTGCAATGATGTCAAATACTTAAATTGCCTGATCTAGTTTTTCCTAAATAGACTAATTAGCTTAAATTGTGAGCCAAATGGTTTTATAGTTTCAAAATGTTTTTATCAACCTCTTTTTTATTTGAAAAATACTGGAAAATTTTCACTGGCAGCATTAAATTCTGGGTGGATGCCTGGAGATAATAAGACTTCCAAACTCAGTCAACGGTAGTAGAAGTGAGAGTGGACACATAGGCTTCTTATATGCAAAGTATTATAATGCCTAATTCACTTAAAATATATATTGAGCACACTTACTATAAAATACAGGAACAATTCCACCACATCAGTTTCCACGTGTTCAGTACTATTGTCTAAGGACCAATATTCATGGTTGGGTAAGAGAGCTAAGCAAGGGGCATATGAAAATATCTCTGCCCTCAGGAAATTGAAACCTAGCTGGGAAAATCTCCATGTATTAGCTATGCATCAGGAGAACAATATAAGATAAAAATTCCCTGCAGTTTTGGTATAAATTCAGTCATGGGGATGATCAGTAATAGTAAAGGTAAATAATGGAACATTTATAGAAAGTCTATTCTGTTCTGCATAATTTAACAATAATATCAGTAGCCATTACACAACAAAATTCTACTCTGTGCCATGAATTGTGTAAGGCATTTTACATTCGTAAGCTCATGCTATTCTTACCATGACCCTGTAAGCAATCATTATACCCCTAATTTCTCAAGTGAAGGAATTGACGTTCAGAAAGGTTGCTAGTCAAGGTCACACGCTTAATAGATAAGTGCTATTGACTCAAGTCACCGGCCCTCTTTCAAGTATACTCTAAGACTCATTTACTTAGAATCATACTTAGAAGTGCTTTATGAAAATTTCCTTCGCAGTCCATTAAGAGTTCTTGATACCCGGTCGTGTCTCTCAGTGAACAAGTACCTTCCTGACATGAGCTTGAGACTCAAGGTAAAAATGGGACTGTAATTGACATCTTTCAGTAATCAGGATAACTGTAAAGTGAATATATTGGAGTTATGTTTTTAGTTATATTGCTATAAAATTATTACAGAAATCATCTTTTGTAAACTTCAAATGTGGTAGACATTCAAAAATAGAACAAAGTTTATTAGCTTTGTGGCTATATTACAGATTTTTTTTTAAATGAGGCTGTACTACAAGGAGTTAAATAGCTTGTCCATGAGCACACAGGTAGCAGAGTTACAATCTGAAACCATATCTATCTGATTTGAAAGTCATTAGGTTAAGCTGCCTATAAAATAGTAACCTCCTTCTTTTATTTCCTACATCTGTTTGTAAACTATCCTAAATAATGTGCACATGAAGATCTTTAGATGAATACCTTTTTCTAATGCTCAGACTGTTAACATTTATCACCCTTCATAGAAATTATTGCAATAATCTCTAACATTGGTCTCTGTCTCCCATTCACTCTATTCTAGTCACACTTGCCATCTTTGAACACATCAGGTATTCTCAGCCCTAGGACCTTTGCACAGGTTGTTCCCTTTGCCTGGAATGCTCTTTCCCCAGCTCTACACCTCCCTCAGCTTCTTCATGTTGTTTACTCAACTGACACTTTTCTCTGAGGTCTTACCTGGTCACCTACTTAAACTGCAAGCTGTTCCCCCACTCCCCAGCACTCCCTGTTCCCATTACTCTCCATGCATGTTTACCATAGCTCTTAAATTATCTTTCTAGAACTTATTTAATTAATTGTCTATCATTTTTACCCTCTTTTGGTGTAATGGGGTGAGGCACATAACACTAATGTGGGTACCTGATCTCAAACCAGGCAAAGTGAGGACCAATAGGAGGCCTAAACTTTACTGGTATTATGGCCACTTATGTACCTAACCCTGAATTATACTCCATGTCTTTAAAATAAAATTTAAAAAAGGAATATTTGACTGGTGATTGACATATAAGATGTGCTAAACAAATGTTAGCTCTTATCATTATTACCTGATGTTATACTGCAAAGTATTTTCAAATGTTTCACATGGAAGTTTCTTCTCCATTTACTTACTGGGAAAAAGGAAAGTTAATCAGAATTAGTTTAGTACTCGACACATATCAAGATCTATGTAAGTGTTTTTATAATGATCATGATGATGGTGCTGATTATCTAAGCAAGTAAGACAAGCAATCATGGAGTGAGAAAACTCAAATTAGAAGGATTCAGTGTGATTACTGTGTAGAATGGAACAGGAAATGCACAATTAGTAAAATATCAGGAATTATTTACGATAAATATATTTGTGCTTGAAGTTATCTTTTGACATATTTTCTTAAAATATTTTATAATTTTTCCCAAAAATATATTTCTAGAAAAGTTACCAGATCAAAAGATGCAAGCATTTTTATTACTCAACTAATCGCCAAAAAAGATATTTAAGATCTTTAGTAACATAACCTTCAAGAAAATGTTCTTAAATATTTTAAATGCTGAAGAAAATATATCATAGTTTCTGTTTGGTGGACATCTAAGATCAGGCATAATTTTGTGCTTATGACCTTTTTATGTATAAGTATTCTTAGGAAGTTTATTATTGTAATTAAAATTTGTGTTAGTATGTTGCAACTTGTTAACTCTTTAGCTTTGTGTTGCTTATATGTTAATATTTAAATTTGAAGCAAAATGAATGTAACATGTAAAATGGAGATTGCAGTATGTTCACCTTTTTGCTAACTGAATTAAATTGCAAATGATGGCCTAGATCTGTTACATACAGAAGAGAATATTTTTTACACAACCCATAGACACTGTCTACCCAAACATAAACAGTTGTTAGTACATTATCGACTAATTCTACTGCATCTTGGTGTATTCAATCTCATTTTAACCCTGAATGGTAAGATATTTTGAATTCTCTCTATTTCAAAAAATAAGAGCAACCAATTAATTGGACTCTCTTCACTTTAGAAACATTGCCTCATAACTATTTCTGATTGAAGACACACTTTAGCTATTTGAAGAAGAAAATTTCCTCTATAGAGAGCAAATACTATCTCTACATTGTTTCACAAGAGATAGTTGAACAACTTACGATTCCACAAACATTTATTTCATACTTACATTGTTAATTTCAGTCACTGAACTAAGCCTACATGTGGTACAGAGTGACCTTAATGGACACCAGTACATCACACCTTCCTGTATCCATGTGCACATGGATTCTTTGCTTGACCATGTAGCTTGATTTGGCTGATGAAACATCAACAAATATAATGTGAGAAGTTATTAGAGATTGCTCTCTTGGAATCCCGAGAGTGTACTTAGAAGAATCCAGAAAGAAGGGCCACGTGGAAAGAGAATCTCAACTATCCCAGCCATTTCAACCATCCCAGGTGAGGCACAAAACAAGTGAGTGAAGTTATCTTAATGCATCCAGTCCCATCTGAGCCACCATAGACTGCAAGCACAAGAGGGATCCAAGTGAGGCCAGCTTATGAACTATCTAGTCAACCAAGAAATCAGAAGAAATGAAATGGTTGGTGTTTTAAGCAATTAAGTTTGAGTTGGCTTTCTACACAGGAATAAATAACTGATATATTAGGTGTTAAAGAAATATTTTAAAAATTTATCTTGCCTGAAAGTACAGCTTTAGGTCCAATGGGAAAACTCATAAAAATAAAATAAGAATGATGAGATTCTTACTGCACCAGAGAAATGTACAGGTGCAGTAGAAATGTAGAAGAAGGAGCTCTAAATTCAATAATAGGGAAAGCTTTCCAGAGTAGGCAAGAAAATATGCTTTCCTTTATACATTGTGCATTTTCCTCTTAATATTAAATCACCTATTTCCCTTGCCTTCCTTTCTGAAAAATGTATGGAGAGCAATAATAAATTGTCCCAAGAGCCATTTGAAATACTTATTTAATCTTCCCTCTGCTTCCTAAATGATAGCCTTACTTGGTGCCTTGTGGATATCAGGTATTCAACAAACATCATATTATTTGCTGAAGAACAGAGACATATTTTCTGTGACTCATACATAGTGATTTAATTTGGGCTTTATTATTAAAGAGAAATAAATGCAAACCATTTTGCTCATGGAATATAAAATTTTATTTAGGACATAGAAAATTTTATTATATTAAGAGAAAGCAAGCAGGAACAGGAAAATGAGTCTCTGTTTCTTTATGAAGTGTTAAACTGTTCTTGGTGCTGTATACCGTTCCCTTGGGCTATAAGCATATGAATAATTTATCACTGCAGTGTGTTAATTCTCCAAAAGTTTAGAAATGGTGTTTTCATGTTGAACAACTGCTCATCTGCCTTTATTTTTAAACTTTTTTTTTTTTTTTTGCATCTGGATCTCACTCTGTCCCCCAGGCTGGAGTGCAGTGTCACTATCACGGCTCACCACAGCCTCGACCTCCTGGGCTCAAGCAGTCCTTCTACCTCAGCCTTTCAAGTAGTTGAGACTACAGATGTGGGCCATGAGCAGCTAATTTTTTGTTGTTGTTGTTGACACAAGGCCTCACTATGTTGCCTAGGCTGGTCTCAAACTTCTGGGCTCAAACAATACTCCCACCTCCGTTCACCAAAGTGCTGAGAATACAAGTGTGAGCCACTGTGTCCAGCCTATTTTTTAACTTCTAAATTTATTTTTACCTAGATTTTTATCTTTAAGAAAATCAGAAAAATTCAGAAAATATTGTGCTTTCTGTAGATTTCCCATAGTAAAAACTTTTAGAAGAATGGAGCTGTTTAGTTTGTCTCTTAAAAACTGTTTACTGTTCTTGGTGTCATTTTTTTTTTTTACCTCATATGATCAGATTGCACTAGTGTTACTTGACTAGCCGACGCATTTCACGTGTTTGAAGGAAAGCAAAGGGGCAACATTTATTCTACTATTCCAGGCCTCTTATTTCTTTTTTTTTTTTTTTGAGTTGGAGTCTCACTCTTTTGCCCAGACTGGAGTGCAGTGGCTGCTCCCGGCCACCGCAGCCTCCACCTGCTGCGCTCCGATGATCCTTCCGCCTCAGCCTTCCGAGTAGCTGGAATTACAGGAGTGCGCTACCACACCCAGCTAATTTTTTGATTTATTGTAGAGATGAGGTCTCACCAAGTTGCCCAGGCGGGTCTCGAACCCGCGGGCTCAGGCAATCCACTCACCTCTGCCTCCCAAAGCGTGGGATTACAGGCTGAGCCACCGAGCCCGGCTAGGCCTCTTATTTCTAATGATATCCAATGATTTTGCTTATTGTATGTTTAGTTTTGAAAGGAAGATGGGAAGCAAAACAGACAACGAAAAGGAATGAAGTCAAATTAACTTCAAGAATCAGTATAGAATATCTTCTCTATGTTTTCAGTTATTTCATCATCATCATCATCACCATCTAAATATTTTCATTCATTTTCTCTTGTTCATCAGTGAATTAGAAAAGTATAATATAACATGTATTATAGTTTGTTTCTACTTTTCCATTAAAAATCGTTTCATTACAAATGTCAATGGTAGCCGGGCTCGGTGGCTCAGCCTGTAATCCCGCGCCTTTGGGAGGCTGAGGTGAGCGGATTGCCTGAGCCCGCGGGTTCGAGACCCGCCTGGGCAGCGAGACCTCATCTCTACAATAAATAAAAAAAAATCAGCCGGACGTGGTAGCGCACACCTGTAATTCTGGCTCGGAAGGCTGAGGCAGAAGGATCGCCGGAGCCCAGCAGGTCGAGGCTGCGGTGGCCAGAGCGGCCACTGCACTCCGGTCTGGGTGACAGAGTGAGACTCCAACTCAAAAAAAAAAAAATGTCAATGGTATAAAAGGTTCAAAACCAAATCAACTTCACAGAAAACATTTCCTACGAACTCAAAAATAATTTTAGAGCTCCAGGCTTTCTAGGGCATTTGTATGCTGAGGACAGACATGACAAAATATACCACAGAAATAACACAGCAACTAGTGCTTGTAAGGAATTTTTTGAATAATTTCTTAAAATATAAATTTATTTTAAATTCAGCTAATGGAAGCTTTCTGTCTCTCTCAAAGGTGTTCTAAGCATATATAACATTATTTAAATCTTACTGTAGAAATTTGGTCTGGATCTTGTTGTGGTATCAGTAGGGACATTGATAGATGGTATTGAGTCCACACAATTTCCACTTTCCAGATAGTTAATAAACCCTCTTCTTTGGGCATTCAAATCACATTAGTAATGTCGTAAAGTATCAGGTCACTCTTCTTTTGATGTGTTTTACTACCATAATTATTACTGTTTTAACCATGAAAAAAGTCCTATTTTGTTAACTGGTAGATGTCCTCTCACTTTCCCCATGTCCAAAAACATGAAGCCACATTCAAAATAAGGAAGTCTGATGAGATCAAAATAGTCGATTATTATTATTATCTTTTGAGTTGGAGTCTCACTCTTTCGCCCAGACTGGAGTGCAGTGGCTGCTCTCAGTCACCGCAGCCTCGACCTACTGTGCTCCGGCAATCCTTCCGCTTCAGCCTTCCAAGTAGCTGGAACTACAGGCGTGAGCTACCACACCTGGCTAATTTTTTTATTTACTTATTGTAGAGATGAGGTCTCACCAAGTTGCCCAGGCGGGTATCAAACCTGCGGGCTCAGGCAATCCACTCACCTCAGCCTCCCAAGGTGCGGGATTACAGGCTGAGCCACTGGGCCCGGCTTAAAATAGTCAATTATTAACCCAAGAATCTTTTTGCAGATTTCAGAAACTTCAGGATAATGGCTGGATGGAAGAATAATACAACAGTCGCAAAATTCATCCTTTTGTGATTCTCAGATTTTCCCAAGCTCAAGATTGTTTGTTCTCTTTGCAGTATTTCTGGCGACTTAACTCTTGACAGTGGCTTGGAACCTTGTCCTCATCATCCTGATTCGGAAGGACTCCTACCTACTTACACCCATGTACTTCTTCCTTAGTAACTTATCCTTCTTAGATTTCAGCTATGTCACCTCCATAATGCCCAAAATGCTCTCCAACTTCTTCCAGAAGCCTAAATCCATCTCCTTTATGGGGTGCACCATGCAGTACTTCTTCTTCTCTAGCATAGGTCTGATTGAATGCTGCCTTCTGGTAACCATGGCTTATGGTCGATATGCTGCTGTTTGTAATCCTCTTCTCTACAAAGCCATCATGCCCCCTAACCTCTGTGTGCATATGGTGGTTGGAGCTTATGTAACTGGCATCTTTGGCTCATTGATCCAGCTGTGTGCTTTACTTCAGCTCAATTTCTGTGGACCAAATACTATTCATCACTTTTTCTGTGACCTGCCTCAGTTACTAGTCCTCTCCTGCTCTGAAACCTTTTTTCTGTAAGCCATGAAGTTTGTGATCGCAATGATATTTGGCGTCTCATCTGTCTTGGTTATCATCATATCCTACGGCTGTATTGTTGCCACCATCCTAAAGATCAGCTCAGTTGAAGGAAGGTCCAAGGCCTTCAATACCTGTGCTTCTCACCTGACAGTAGTGACCTTCTTTTTTGGATCAGGACTCTTTGTCTATATGCATCCCAGCTCTGAGTACTCTCTAGGCTATGATAAGATGGCATCAGTCTTCTACACAGCAGTGATTCCTATGTTGAATCCTTTGAGTTACAGTTTGAGGAACAAGGAGATCAAAGATGCACTTAACAGGTATAAGAAGAGAGTGTTTTCCCATTGCCACTGTTATTTAAGGGTTTATTAGGCTAATGATCCTGCTGATCGGAAGTTTCTAGAAAATGCAAGGGAAATTTAAGATCATTTCTCCCCACTGATGCTCTGGCAAGATTGCAAGTGAGTCAACCCATATAAATCCAGGACTGACTCTGGTGTGGAAACTCTGTGACTTTTTTGAATCTTGACAGTTGACTCTCCTGCACAATGATCTCACAAAGCAGTTATCAGGTTTTTATGAAGTAGCAGCCTTCAGTTCTTTGGTGTTTGACCCTTATGTGCTCTTTCAGAACTTCAGACTAAAGGACCGAAGAAATGGGAGTAAACCCAAATTCAATAGTCTTTCTCATACACAATGTCATGAGCAGTATAATGACCACTGGGTCCCAGACTTCAAACTCTTGGGGCACTTGGGCAAATTCCAGTTGCTTAAGATGAAAACATGGAGAGAAGTATAACTTTAGACTTTGACCTAACTTCGTTGCCGAGGAAAAATGCCAAGAATTTGTCTTTTAGGGTTTTGTTTTTAGAACCAAACAGCCACAGTTTGTAAGTGAACAAACACAAGGATTTCTATGGTACTATCATGCTCTTGGAGAGTTAAAATACAAAGAAAAGAAGTGAAGCGATCATTTGGGCTTTAAAATATGTGGAAAAATTACATTTCCGTTATTATGGCAGACTGGATAGCATAAATATACCCACTATTTCAAAAACTAAAGGTATCAGATGAAATATGTCTTTAAAATATTTAAAATACATTTCTGAGTAGGCAAGAAAGAAAGGAAATCTCTGGAATCCAAACATAAAGTAAATTTAGAAATCCTGAGAGTAACGGCAACTCTGAAGACATCTTTCATGTTGGGGGAATTCACCAAACTCTGGTGATTATGTCTTTATTTTGACAAATACTTGGGTCTTGGGAAAGAGAGGCAAAGCTTGAAGCTGCCTGATAGTGTGATTGAAGAATCAGACATTCATGTGAGACTCTAGTGGACTGCACCTTAGTGTGAGAGGAAATTGAGGGAAAAAAAACTTGTTTTGGAAGAAAGGAAATCTTGAGTCTCTTAGGCTTCAGGCTGGGTACAGGGAAAAGTGAACTATAAATTTGTAACCACACATCCTAATGAAGATTTGTGGTCTCAATTCACACTAACTATGCAGTTCTTTACCTCATAAGTTAGTTTAAATTCCAGTTTAGAAGTGTCCTCAAGTTCCAGTCAGAAGCAAATGTAAATCCTCTCTTAAGACTCTTAAAAGAGAATCTTAAACCCAGAATCAAACAGTTTTTCCAAATAATCTCAAAAAAAAGAAAAATTAGGTTACACAAATCCCAAAGTACACAAGGAAATAAGATCTTACAGATGAAAACCAAGAAGGCATGGCAACGCCATACTCTAAAGACTTCCAAAATAATAATTATCCCAATTCAAAATTAGATAGATGCTATTGATAGGTTGAAAAAAGAAGGGGAACTAAAAATATTGTTAAAAGATTAAGAGAATAAAGGTCGGCTATGGTGGCTTCTATCTGTATATCCCAGAACTTGGGGAGACCCAGATGGGAGAACTGTTTGTTTGGGTCTAGGAGTTTCAGACCATCCTGGGCAACATAGTGAGAATTTGTCTCTACAAAAAATAAAAACGAAAACAAATTAGCTGGGTGTGGTGGCATGCACCTATCACCTCAGGAAACTGAGAAGAAAGGATGGCTTGATCCCAAGTGTTTGAGACTGCAGTGAGCCATGATCATGCCACTATACTCCAGTCTTGACAAGAGCGTGAGACCTTGACTCAAGGGGTTACAAAAAAAGAAGTAAGAGAATAAAGTTTACTAGGGATTTCTGTATGTGACAGTATGATGAATTGTATATATCTAAATTATCCTCCTATCTGAAACAACTGAAATGCTGAATTTGAAATAAAATCAACTTAAATATGTATTTTATAAAAATGAATATAAAGACAGTTGAAACCAGGAAGTAAACAAGTGCCAAAAATGACTTTCATCTTGGAGAGTACTGATGAAGCTGGAGGCCCTTCTCTGTGTAGATTGCATGGGTGGTGAAGGGTCAGAAGGTCAAGGTCAGGGCATGCCCCTGGTGGTCTGGAAGATAATCTGTAAGGCTTTCTGTAAGCCCACAGGGCTATACCCTAAGTGCAAAAGTGAAGATTCTCACATTGTGTTCCAGAAAACAAGCAAACAAAAAACAGTTAACAGTAAAAAGAAGTATACAGAGTCAAGCCCCCCATGACTGAGAACCAACAGGGAAAAAGACCATATAAATAGACCTGCAATACCTTCAGATATTAGAATTATGAAAGAGGATAAAGCAGTTGGATTTTTGTGAAACTGATTATGATGAAACAATGTTTAAATCTCCCCTAGAAGGCCGGGTACAGTGGCTCATGCCTATAATCCCAGAGCTTTGGGAGGCCAAGATGGGAGAATCACTCGAGGTCAGAAGTTTGAACCCAGCCTAGGAAACATTGCAAGACCCTGTCTCTACAAAAAATTAACCAAGGCCAGGTGCGATAGCTCAAGCCTGTAATCCCAGCACTTTGGGAGGCCGAGGTGTGAGGATTGCCTGAGTCCACGGATTTGAGACCAGCCTGAGCAACTTTGTGATACCTCATCTCTACAATAAATCAAAAAATTAACCAGGAATGTAGTGAGCGCCTGTAGTTCCAGCCACTTGGAAGGCTGAGATGGAAGGATCACTGGAGCCCAGCAGGTCAACGTTGGGGTGGTCGTGAGCATGCCACTGCACTCCAGCCTGGGCGACGGAGTGAGACTCCAACTCAAAAAAAAAAAAAAATAGCTAAGCATGATGATGCATGTCAGTAGTCCTAGCTACACAGGAGACTGAATCAGGAAGATGGCTAGAGTCCAGAAGTTTGAGGCTTCAGTGAGCAATGTTCATACCACTGTACTCTAGACTGGGCAGCAGAGTGACACTGTGTCTCAAAAAACAAAACAAAACAAAACAACTCCCCAGAAAGTGATACATCCTTTGCAAAGGGGTAATTATTTTTTAAAAAGTCAAAGATCTGATGACTCAAAGCACTGAAAACTGACAAATCAAAAGGAAGAGGCTTGATATGTTCATATAATGGAATATTATTTGGCCATAAAAAGGAATGGAGTACTGACACATGCTACAACATCGGTGAACCTTGAAAACATCATGATAAGTGAAAAGCCAATCACTAAGGACCATATATTATCTATTTCATAGAGTAGATAAATCTATAAAGACAAAAAGGAGATTTGTGTTTGCCTAGGGTTACAGGGGTAGAGAGGAATGGAGAGTGATTGGTAATGAGTATGTGGTTTCTTTTTATGGAATGTTCTTTTGATGCAATGGTTACAAAACTTTGTGCATATATTAAAAGTCACCGAAAACTGCACACTTTAAGTGGATAAATTTTATAATATGTGAAGAATACCTTGACACTGTGGTTTAAGAAAGAAAGAAACGAAGGATAGAAGGAAGGAAGGAATGAGGGAATGGAAGGAGGGAGAAAAAAATTAAAGGCTTGAAAACACACAGGAACAGCCGGGCTCGGTGGCTCAGCCTATAAACCCAGCACTTTGGGAGGCTGAGGCCAGTGGATTGCCCAAGTCCACGGGTTCAAGACCACTCGGGCAACTTGGTGAAACCTCGTCTCTACAATAATTTTTTAAAAAATTAGCCTGGCACGGTAGCGCGTACCTGTAGTTCCAGCTACTTGGAAGGCTTGAGGCAGAAGGATCGCCAGAGCCCAGCAGGTCGACACTGGGATGGCTGTGAGCATGCCACACTGCACTCCAGTCTGGGTGACAGAGTGAGACTCCAATTCAAAAAAAGAAAAAAAGAAAGAAAATACACAGGACCAAAGCTGACATTCTTGAGAAGGTACCATTCTTGAGATGTGGTAAAGAAAGGGATAAAGCAAGTGAGCTGTGGAAATTAAAGGCCTTAAGACAACTTTGAAAATCAAGTAGAATACGACCCCATCTCTGTTTCTGAATAAATCACCACAAACGGCAAAGGACACTCTTCAACAAAGAAACCTAGAAAACTACTCAAACCCAGGGTCCTTTGTGTGAACTCTGTATAGCCCTGCACAGTCTTAAATCTCAAGCTCTGGTAGAGCCATCGTATAGTTTGAATGTTTGTCCCCTCCAAATCTTATCTTGAAATGTAGTCCCCAGTGTTGGAGTTGGGGTCTACGGGGAGTGGTGAAGTCATGGGGGCAGTTGCCTCATGAGTGGCTTGGTGCCCTTCTCACAATAATGAGTTCTCACTCTATTAGTTCATGTGAGAGCTGGTTGTTTAAAGGAGTCTGACACTTTCTCCTCTCTGGCTTCCTCTAATGTCATATGACAAACTGGCTCCTCTTCGCCTTCTGCCATGACTGCATGCTTTCTGAGGCCTCAGAAGAAGCTATGCTTCTTGTACAGTCTGCAGAACTGTGAGCCAAATAAACCTCTCTTCTTTATAAATTACCCAGCTTCAGATATTCTTTTACAGCAATGCAAGCCAAACTAATGCAAGCCATGATTGGTCAAGACTGGCAGGATTCCAGAAATTCCTCCACCTGTTGAGCTGTGGCTTAATCCAAATATATCATTCATTGACAAGACACATACTGAGGACTGAGCCAAATGAGGAAAGAAGGGGAAGAAAGTGGTGCCATTTTGGTTATAGGTGGAAAAAAGGAGATTCAATATAGATTTTTTGAAAGTATCTATTTCTCTCTTGCATTCAAAATACAGCTTGATTGGTATCAATCTGAGTTATATGGATTGTCAGAAGCATGTTACATGACTGCAAATTAACCAGTAAATATGAAGTGGCATGTAAAATGGAACAAGTCTTGTATATTCCTAGTATATCTGCTACAATGAGACACCAAAATGTGGAATCCTGTTAGGCTTTAATTAACCAGTAGAGGGAGGCCCATTCCAAGATTCTGCATAACAGAAAAGTTAGCATAGACAAAGGTGGGGGGGTGTGACCAGTGATAGTGATAAAACTGACTTTCGTGTGTGACTCTTTAGAGTTTATATCCATGGACACTTGGTCTTTATGACAGCTTGGGTATGAGCTCCACATCTTATGGGTGAGAAGAACAGATGCTCACTCAGGTTTGTTGAAGGTGACCTAACAAATGAGCAGCTAAGGAGGGGAACAGCGGAGGGGACCAGTGCTACCCAAGAGTATAGAATGTTTACACTCTCCCACAAGTACAAACAGAATTCTTTTTCCTAAGTAGTTGACACTCCAGTTAGGATTAGCCATGCAAATAGCTTGGCATGCATATCCGAGAGAAGCTGAATAAATCCACCTCTCCTTTGTCCCCATAATTTCCCTTCATCCTGAGTGCTCACAACCTCTAAGTCATTCCCTTTTATCTTTGGATAAATGTAAACAAAATTTCACTATAAGAAAGAGTCCTTCTTGAACTAAACA